TNGAAAACCAACTGGATTTGTTGATCTTTTGAATGGCTTTTCATGTCTCGATCTCCTTCAGTTCAGCTCTGAATTTCGTTGCTTCTTGTCTTCTGCTAGCTTTGCAGTGGTTTTCTCTTGCCTCTCTAGTTCTTTTAGTTGTAATGTTACGTTGCTGATTTGAGATCTTTCTGACTTTTTGATGTGGGCGTTTAGTGCTATACATTTCCCATTTAACATGGCTTAAGCTCTGTCCCAGAGATTCTAGTATGTTGTTATTTTTCTTCACATTAGTTTCAAAGAACTTCTTGATTTCTTTCTAATTTCATTATTTACTCAAAAGGCATTCAGGAGCAAGTTGTTTAATTTCCATGTATTTGCATGGTTTTGAGCAATTTTTTAAGTCTGATTTCTATTTTTATTGTGCCGTGGTCTGAGAGTGTATTTGGTATGATTTTGTTTCTTTTATATGTGCTGAGGATTATTTTATGTCTGATTGTGTGGTCAGTTTTAGAGTATGTACCATGTGGTGATGATAAGAATGTATATTTTGTTCATTTTGGATGGAGAGTTCTATAGAGGTGGATCAGATCCATTTGGTCCAAGGTTGAGTTCAGGTCCTGAATATTTTTGTTAATTTTCTGCCTTGATGATCTGTCTAATACTGTCAGTGGAGTTTTGAAATCTCTCACTATTGTTGTGTTAGAGTCTAATACTCTTTGTACGTCTCTAAGAACTTGCTTTACGAATCTGGGTGCTTCTGTGTTGGATACATATATATTTAGGATAGTTAGATCTTCTTGTTGAATTGGACCCTTTACCATTATGTAATACCCTTCTTTGTCTTTCTTGATCTTTGTCAGTTTAACATCTGTTTTGTTATTTCCCCTTTTTATTCCACACAAAACTACAATGATCATTTCTATATCTTGAATTGAATTAGGTGCCTTCAAAATCAGGGATTAACCCATTAAACAAATCTTGGTTATAGTAAGTAATGGAACAGAAATTTTGGGGACCCAAGAGATTAAGAAACCGGTTTTAAAAAGGTATTATAAAACCTCTTTATTCTCTACTTAAGTGAATATTATCCAGAAATCAGATGTTATCACATTGGCTTCAGTTCATTGCTTGTGAGCAGAACTCTTTCAAATATCTAAGCTCTCTGGACTCACCATGTTTTACCAACATGATCATGGGTAGTTGGCCTACTGTGAGTGACATCTTCAAAGAGAGAGTAGGTTCTGGCTCTTTTGATTAAGGCAGAAATCACTGTGAATGCCCCTTTGAGAACTGTTCTAAGAGAACGTAACTATTGCTAATTTGGTAAAGCGATATTAAACAATATGCTGGAATAGTTTTTTGAACATAGATTTTCCATAAACTCTGCAATCATTCCATGTTCAGTTTGTGGGAATAATGTGAAGTCATTCTTTTCAGAAAGGAGCATGCAGATCCTGATGTGACTTACTTGAGAATTATTGTTATCTCACAATTTGATATTTCTGTGTTTCCTCAAGATACACACACACAAAATCAGTAAGTATATAGAGTATGTTAACAAGGGGAAGGTTCACTAAGGATTTATTGGAATAATGATGAACTCCCAAAAGCAGAAATGTTTATTTAAATGACATGCCTTTTAAATTTTATAAATGTTGACAAAATATTTTCTGAAAATATGTTTAAATTTATATTCTTACATGTTTATATTACTCTTGCTTTCTCAACACACACAAATGTTCACATATGCACACATACACACATTTTTATCCTGGGCAATATCAGTGTTCTACTTGTGGAGAATATAATTTGTAAAATATGGTATCTTGGTTTTCAATTGCATGCTTAAATTATGAATGGGTTTTGGCATCACATATTCTTTTACTTAAAACTTACCTGCCTAATAATTTCTTTTAAACATTTCAAAGCAAAATGGGGCAATCATTTCATGATGGGCAAGTATGAATGAAGACAAATCCAAATTCCCATTGGAAAAAAAACTTATCTTTTCTGAATAACTGATCGGATTTTTACTACATTTATGTGCACTGTAATTTCTCAAGAGGAGGTTGGAATAGAAAAGTTTGAAGGAAAATCTTCATTTCACACTCTTCTTCCCCTAACTTTCTTACCTCAATAGCTTATAATGACTCCACCTCTGGTTCCTAGATGCTGTAGAAAATACTATTTATAAATATATATTACTGTGTGTAAAAATTAGAGAGTGAATGGGTATTGCTAAATATATTAACTATATAATTGTGGTATGTATCATTAAAAACCATCTTAGATGATGACAAAAGGGGGATTAAACTACAAAAATGTATAGAAACCTGCTAAGATGACTACCAAAAATCCATCCCTTTCTAACACCAGCAAGCTGCTCCTCCCATCAACAGTGAAAACTGTTTTACCTCCTCTTGACTCTTATTGGCACAGTGATTTGCTGCAACTTATAGAATATGATGGAAGTGGTGCTGTACAAGTGCCCAGCCCTCAAGAGATCTGGCAGCTTGTGCTTTTACTTGTTTATGGAGTGAAACCTGGGGTTGGCCACAATGTAAGAGAGAGAAAGGCCCAGCCAGCTTGCAGCCACATTAGGTGAAGTGCCCAACATGTGCATGAAGCTATCTTGGACATTCCAGCTCAAGCCAGGCTCCCAGCAGATTGTAGTCACATGAGGGATCCTAGCCAATATCGTGTGAAGAGGAAGAACCACCAACTGAGCCCAGCCAACCCACAAGACCATGAAAAATTGACTAACTAACAAAGGGAGGGATTGTAACAGTACCTAAATGTTAAAGTAGAGTCCACAATAGTACTGAGAGACAAAATCGCATGAATTATGAAATGAAAACCAATTGTCAAGACACGGAACTCAATGTAGATGGATGGGAGAGGCCCCAGACCAATGAGAAAGTACAAAACTCTAATCCTGAGTTAGAGTTCAAGAGCTAGGACTGATATTTTACAACGGTGTTTCCAGTGGAATTTTCTATGATGATGAAAAAAAAGTATGTATCTACTGAGCACTTGAAATGTGACTAGTGTATCTGTGGAGCTGAATTTTTAATTGTATTTAATTTTGCTTAACTCTCATTTAAATTTAAATAACTACATGTGGCCAGTGACTGCACTACTGGATAGTCCAGCTACTCATCGCATGCAGGACTTTACCCTGATGAAGAGATAAACATCTCCAACAACTCGCCCCAAAATTGTGTCTTTTCCATGAACATATCTCTCAGAACTCTGAGAAAAACCTTACTAAGACCTTGATCTACTTGAGTCACAGACAGCTGCTTAGAGTTAGCAAATAAATCTGTCAGTTGTCTCCATATGCAAACCAAGAATCAGAAGGCACAGATAAGACCCTTCCCCTTGTGTTCTCCGACTAAACAGAGATGGGACTGGAAGTAACAGCTTAAATAAAGTCTGTCTCTACGTTTTATACTGTCTATAAATAGCCTCAAGATAAAGTAATCTATTATAAAGGGAATTTCTAAGAACTTTAATTAGGGTATTTAAAATTTAAATTCAAATATATATATATGATGTGTTCCCCAAGCTTCTTTCAGTAAAGAAATATTTTGTCTATGTGACCTCTATTAACCTCTTGCAGTGGCAATAAGACACATTTTGGGAAAACTCTGCTAGAAAACTGCAGAAGAATTTTTATTAAGCTAGGCTAAATGTCATAGTGAAATATTGAAAACTTCAACCATGAGTACTACATAACTTTCCAAAATCAATTCCATTTTCTTAATTAGAAAATTAATCATTTGAGATTATTAAACAAATATGAGACAAGACTAAAATGATTTTCATTTCCTTGTAGGTTAATTTTTAAATATTTAACAAAAATAGAATAATACTCTTCTCAAAGAAGGCAAAATTGTAGTTGAGACTTAATTGAATTATATGGTATCTAGGTTCCAAAATTTTCAAACACTGATTTTAGCATTTTTACCTAATGAAGGCAATATTGACATTTACATGAATAAAATTGTCAGTGTTCTATGCCCACTTGGCATTGAGCCGTGATTTTCCAAAGAGCCAAGGACAAATAACTATTTCAAGGACTCTTTGCTAGAGAGAAATGCTTGCATTCTTAGGAGAATAGAATTTGTTCTGCTTCACCGTCTCATTTAACACCACTGAAATTGAAAATGAAACTGTATTATTTCTACTTCCTGTGAGTCCTCAAAACTCCTTCTGCCCTCCAGAATTTCTTCCAATTGGATTATCCAATTAAGGTAAACCAGGAAATTATTCCAGTCACTTAAAGATTTGGCTAAGATGTTTCTTCTCTCAAATTCCTATTCATGGCATTTTATTTTTGATAACAGTCCTCAAAGTTCATCTTTCTCCAAGATGAACTGGATGCATATTGGAATAACTGGGGTTGGGGGTAGCCTTTTGAAAATGCAGATTCCTGGGCCCCACCCCAGACTAATCTCAGCATGGGGAGGAGAGAGTAGGAGGCCCAAGCAAAGACATCCTTAAAGCCATTGAGTAGATTCTCGTGACAATTACACCATTGGGCTGGTCTATTCCGCTCATTTGACAGACCTGGGAACCAAGGGTCAGCCAGCTAAGTGAGCTGTTATCATTTCTTCTTCCCTAGATAATCAGGACTGGAGACGTCTGATTGCTCGGTGGCTTCCAAGCTTGCACATGAGCCACCAGGGTTAAAAAGAATGTCTCCAGGGTCTCCTTTGAGGGTGAAAGGGGACATAAGGAAGGAGCAGATTCTCATCTTCACCAGAGAACCAGTCCTAACTGTCTGTATACAGGATTTCTTTATATTTTGTTTGAAAAGAGGGTTCCACTGCTAAAGTGTGCCAAGTCTGAGAAATCACTCCACTAAAATTATAAACGTGATGTGAATAATGTCTATGTCTGAAATGTTTATCGAAGTATCTTAGGAGCCAGACACCAGTTCAACTATTAATGAAATGTAAAAACACTTCAAAGAACAGAAGAGTGTTTATTCTTAAGTCACATTTTTTTTTCAGGTGTTAGGTGAGCTCTAAGGAGATATGTGAATTCAAATATTAGCACCCATGAAAAATATGTGTCATAGGTAAGAATCCCAGGTCACAGGTGCAAGTTTAGTAAATTAAAAAAAAAAATTTTTTTTTTTTGCAACTGACATTTTCTAGATCATATCTCATTACCTTGATATCTAATATTAAGGAGACTGTTCTTGCCCTGGTTGGGCCTAATTTGGTGGGAGTGGGTTAGGCAGTTCTAAGGCCTCAGGCAAGGGCTCTGGTCCTGGTGCTTGTCTGACCTCACTGGCATCCTCTGGGATACCCTCTGTCTCACCCAGGCTCGGGACATAAGTACACACAGAGCCCTTTCATTCCTAACTATAAAGCCTCTTGGGTCCAGCTTTCTATCAATGGCCTTTGACCATCACTTGGTCTCTCTAGAAAGCATCCTGTTGCTCCTCCATCCCTCCTGGGTTTCAGGAATCATGTAAGGGTGTCTCAGGCTTCTCTGTTCAGACACCCCTTCCTTCCATCATTTCTACTCCATTTCTTCCCCACCACGCTGCCAAGCGGGCATCTGTGAAGCTTGCCGCCTCTCCTAGCTCCACAGTGGAAGTGAGGCACAGCTCTTCCCTGCTGCTGGATCCCCAGAGCTTTCTCAAAGGACCAGCCCCCGCAGTGGGGACCCAAGCATAGGATCCCTCTGCTTTCTTAAGGAGAGATTTCAATCAAAGGGGGTCAAAACTGTCTAAAACGGAGAACATTTCTTCTAAAACTATTGTTCTGTTCTGGAGCCTTTAGAATCCAGGCTTTTGCAACCCATCAAAACTCTCTTCTTTTTTCCCTCAAGGCAATTGTTTACAATGGCCTATTTTAAAGCCAAATGCAGAGAATTGCCCGCTCAGTCTTCCTTTCTCTTCTGTGATTTCTTCCCAGGAGCTGCTCCGGTGGAGGTGAGGAGAGTCACAGGAGACAAAGGAGGATGGGGAAATAAACAAGTCAGTTAATATATCAATATTGTATCTTTCTACACATGCATATTGATCAGGTTCTGTACACAATAAAGTACAAAATAAAATGTACAAAATAAAAGTGTGAGGCCCCTTATTAAAAAATTATTGGGTTACTGCAAAAATAATTGTGGTTTTTGCCATCACTTAAGAAAAATGGCAAAACCGCAATTACTTTTGCCCCAACCTAATACAATGAATTTCAAGACAGCTACAGCAGAGTGTTAAACCATACATGAGGCCCTTCTGAATACAGTGGCGCTGTGTGACTACACATGTCCACACACACGAAGCTGGCCCTGACTTTAGCTCTTACAACACATCTGTATTTGATTTTTGTTGGAGTGTTATTTGTACTGCCATCCCTCAGTATCCCTGGGGAATTGATTCTGATCCTCCCCTCGTCCCCAGATACCAAAATCTGTGGATGCTTAAGTCCTTGATATAAAACGGTATAGTATTTGCATATAACCTATGAACCTCCTCATGAACATCCTCCTGTGTACTTTAAATCATATCTAGGTTACTTATAACACTTAGTACAATGTAAGTGCTATGTAAATAGTTGTTATACTTTTATATTATAAAATTTAGATTATTTTTATTATGGTTAAATATAAACATTGTATTGTTTTTATTGTTGTTTTGTCATTGTTTATTGGCTTTTCCAAATATTTTTGATCCACGATTTGTTGAATCCACAGATGCAGAAAATTATCAAAATAATTTGGAAGACAATTTAAGTAGCAACAGGAATTTATAATATAAGCTACACAATAGAATAGGTAACTATGCAGTTTTTTATAATCGTGTGGATATTAAATGTTAATTTTCTATTATCACTGATGGGTACATAAGAGTTTTATATATTGTCCTTTGTACTTTTCTAAGTTTTTTTCTGAATTTTATTTTTAAAATATTTGAAGACCACTGGGCATGGTGGCTCATGCCTGTAATCCCAGCACTTTGGGAAGCCAAGGCAGGAGGATCATGAGGTCAAGAGATCGAGACCATCCTGGCCAACATGGTGAAACGTCGTCTGTACTAAAAATACAAAAATTAGCTCGGCGTGTTGGCATGTGCCTGTAGTCCCAGCTACCCAGGAGGCTGAGGCAGGAGAATTGCTTGAACCCGGGAGGCGGAGGTTGCAGTGAGCCGAGATCGCGCCACTGCACTCCAGCCTGGCACCTGGTGACACAGTGAGACTCTGTCTCAAAAAATTTAATTAAGTCCTAGTTTTAATGATGTTTCAGGATCGTTTTTGAACTATTCTGGGGGGACAAGCTGGGATTTAATTCAACAGCATGATGGCTTGCTTTGTGGGCTCACAACTAGTCAGATGAGGAGGGGCTCAGAAAATTTTAAATGGAAGATAAAATTCCCATCCGTACTACCACCAATAGCTCAGTGATGGTTTCTTTTTCTTCTAATAACCAGATAATTGTCTGGGATCACTAGTTTATTCAGCTAGTTCAGACTCAGTCTAGCAAACAGGTAAGCAAAGATAACTTATGTGGCTCTTCTGTAACTATCTTTTCTCAAGTCTCAAAATTTAGTCTTTGAAGTCCATACTGTCTGTTCGATAGAATGCTGACCTCTTCCACAGCAATAACAGATTTTATTCAAGGTAACAATGTACTCAGAAAAATGCCACCTCTCCATCTCCTTTGTGACTAAATTCTGGCCAAAAAGATATGAGTTAATGCCATATGGGAGTTCCGGTAGAACAACTTAGAGAAAGCTAACGCCCCTTCCCCTTTTCTTTGTCTCATTTCCTGAAATGTGGATATAATATCTGGAGATCTGGCAGCTGTGAAAGGAAAGTAAATCTTGGGGCCCTAAAATCACTAGGCCAAGGGAAAAGTCAAGCTGGGAACTATGTCAGACAAACCTGCCTTTCATTTTATAAGATAGCTACAAAGACAAAAAGCTACATACCTCCCTCACAATTTATCGATAAGGAAGTTCCCTGAGGACAAAGGACAGATAGAACTCATCATCTGAGACAAATGCATATCTGATTGCTTCCTCTGCCTTTTGTTTGTGTAAAAATGAAGATTCCCTGAGCCAAACTAAATTGTGCATTCAGTGGAAGGCTGATCAAGCACTCAAAAGAATACAACCTTTTGTTTCTTATCTACTTATGACCTGGAAGCCCCCACCTCAAGTTGTCACAAACCAATGTACATCTTACACATATTGATTGATGGCTTATGTCTTCCTAAAATGTAGAAAAGCAAGCAAAATGTATAAAAACCCTAACCACCTTGGACACATGTTGTCAGGACCTCCTGAGGCTGTGTCACAGGCACATCCCTAATCTTGGCAGAATAAACTTTCTAAACTGACTGAGACCTGTCTCAGATATCTTTTGGTTGACACAACCATCTTGGATCATAAGATGCATCTTCAAAGACTGTAAGACCTCAAGGTTGAAAGCCACCCCAGAGGAATAGAAAGAAGAAGAGAACCAGGGACCACGGTCCCTTATGACTTAACGGAACCTCTGTATCTGTTTTCAGTTCTGGAAAGTCTGCCTCCAGATTTCTTTCTTTTTTTATTTCCTTTTTTCTTTTTTTTGAGACAGGGTCTTAGTCTGTCACCCATGCTGGAATGCAGTGGTGCAATTATAGCTCACTGCAGCCTCAACCTCTTCAGGGTCAGGAGATCCTCCCACCTCAGCCTCCTAAGTAGCTGGGACTATATGCGTGCAGCTGGCTACTTTTTGTATTTTTTGTAGAGACAAGGTTTCACCATGTTGCCCAAGCTGGCAGATTTCTTTTATGTAGAAACTATCCTTGTGTTTTTTAAGCCACTTGTACTTAGGCCTCTTTTAATATCAACCTGGTTTAATGTCTAATGGATATTTAACCAAGTACCTTCATTTTCCTATGAGACAGTTTAATTATTTTCTCTCTCTTTTTCTCTTTCCTTCTTTTCTTCACTTCCTACTTAGCTCTTTAGAGATGCAATTATAGCCTTTTACCTCCTCTTCACCAGACACTTCCTACAGGACAAGTTCATCTATGTGCTTAGAATCTCCAGAGCAGATCTCTCGCCCACCAGGAGATTGCCTTGACAAATAGCAGTCAATTTATAACCCAAAGTATACCCACTAGAGTTTTTAGCCACCTTTATAACCTATTTCTGCTCATGAAGATGCTAACATTACTGCCCAACAGATAAGTCACCAAAGTGCAGACCCCCAACTTGCTTACTTCTACCTCGATGCAGGCTTCTCCCTTCAAAAGCACCCACTTTCTCTCCAAAAGCAAAATGATACCCTTAAGGCAGGAATCCTGTACTTCTTCCCCTAAGGTATCTTTGCAATACAAAGTCCTTTCTTTATAGCAGCCCTTGCTCTTGTTAATTGGACTCTTTAAGTGGTGAACATTTTGCATTACAGATGCAATTATGGATGGGAATTTGCCCATTCATTCATAGATTATTACTGAACATCCAGGCTCCAGACATTATGCTAAGCATTGAGTATTCTGGTGCCAGATGCTGGCATAACAAAAGCAAAAAATAGTAATTACTGTTACCATTATGGATACTGTGTTAGCCCCCTTTTCCTCTTGTCCCTACAAATCTACTCTCCACACACCTCACTTTGGGCCTCTAGGAGGCTGACCCCTATGGATGCCACGAGTGGGCTCCCTTACGCTTTAGCTCCAGTTGGATCTGGTCAGGGAAGAGAACCAGCAGGAGCTGGTTGTTTTCATGTTCTGATAAAGGCATATCTGCGACTGCATAATTTATAAAGAAAAAGAGGTTTAATGGATTCACAGTTCCACATGGCTGGGGAGGTCTCATAATCGGGGCAGAAGGCTAAGGGCACTTCTTACATGGCAGTGGCAAGAGAGAATGAGAATCAGCAAAAGGGGTCTCTCCTTATAAAACCATCAGACCCCATGAGACTTACAAGAATAGAATGGCAGAAACTATCCCATGATTCAATTATCTCCGCTGGGGTCCCTCCCACAACATGTGGGAATTATGGGAGCTACAATTCAAGAGGAGATTTGGGTGGGGACACAGCCACACCATATCAGCTCCCCACTGCAGGATTGCTGTAAACTGGCTTTTTCTGGCTTCCAGTCAGGCAGACCTCTCCACACTCTCCTCTGTCTTCAGGTTCTCCCAGCTGCCCCTTTTCTCATGTCTGTGGGCCTCAGGTAGTCATTGTGGTCAGCCGTACTGAGCTTGGGGTTTCATTATATTCTATCCATGTCTTTACAAAAAGTCCCTTTTCAAAACACTCCTCAAATTAATTCATTGCAGTGTGCTATCTGTTTCTTTCTGGAAACTGAAGAACTGTTTTTTTGTTTTTTGTTTTTTGTTTTTTTTTGAGATGAAGCCTTGCACTGTCACCTGGGCTGGAGCGCAGTGGCAAGATCTCGGCTCACTGCAACCTCCACCTCCTGGGTTCAAGTGATTCTCCTCCTCAACCACTGGAGTACTTGGGATTATAGGCACACGCCATGACACCCAGCTAATTTTTTGTATTTTTAGTAGAGACAGTGTTTCACTATGTTGGCCAGGCTGGTCTTGAACTCCTGACCTCGTGATCTGCCCACCTCACCCTCCCAAAGTGATGGGATTACAGGCATGAGCCACTGTGCCAGGACCAAAAAACTTCTTATGAAGTGTTTCTTTTTGACAGATACTGCCAGGTATACCATTTCATTGAATCTTTACAGTCTTGTTTACATTTGTCTACGTTTGAATCTTTACAAGCTTGTCTGCATTTGTCTAGTAAGGCTGAAAAATAGAGAGGCTGCGTGAATTTTGTAACCAAGGTGTTGATTAGGTTCTTTTGTTTTCTTAACCTGGCACACATAGAGAGATAGGCTGGTCCTTACCCAAAACAATACGTGCAGGATTTATCATGGTGTACTCTTCCATCTTGCTCTCCATCCCAGCTTTCCTTTCTGTGTCTTTTGCTCGCAATATCCTGTTGCTACCCCTTAGAGTTCAAGGTTCCCTGTGGCGGTGTCTCTCTGTTCTGTCATCCCAGCAGTGCTCCTTGCTGGGGTTATACTCCCTGTGTCACAAGCTCTCAGAACACTGTCCTCCCTTCCCTTCAGTGATGGCAAGTTACCCAGATAATAATACTGAGCTCTGCAGCACGTGCTGATAATCATTCATTATGACCTCTCCAAGGGTAGTAAGAACTCTAATTGACCCGTTACCTTAATTTAATGATTAATATTCCAGTGATTTTGTCATGTTTATGCAATCGGCCTTTATCATACATATTAGTGAGATTCAAGACTGACAGGAGTCATTTTATCCAAGCAATATTTACTGAACACCGCACCAGTCTCCACACCAGGTACACTATTGAGCATGATGGTCATGGTCATTGATCTGATTGGGGTTATAACTTGACAGGAAATAATTATCAACCAATAATCCATTTGTTTCTTTTCTATAAATGACTTCGGCTTCTGTTCCCATCTTATTCCTAACAAGAACTATCAACAGAGAAAACATCAAAAGCCATATGACTTAGTCTCTTGCAGAGGACAGGAGTTAAGCTGTGACAGGAACAGGAAGGAATCAGGGAACTATGACAATCCAGAGGCATGAACAGTGTAGGTCCCAGTTAAGCAGAGTAGCACTGTTTCTGTAAGAGCACCAGTAACATCGGCTTTTGCAATTGCTACAAAATTGCCAAAATGATTTTTTAAAGACGTTTCCTCACTTTTTTGTGTTGTTTATTTTATTTTGTTTGAGAATATTGCTTTCATTATTCCATGAATTTTTTTCAAGCACTACA